ACTCTACAGATGAGGAAACTGAGGCTCAGAGAGGGAAAGCCAAGATCTGATTCCAGCCTTAACCACTACTTCTTCTGCATCGAGACGAGGTATGAGAGCTGGGCACAGTGGCTCACACCTGTAAACCCAGTACTTTGGGAGGCAGGAGAATTGCTTGAGGATAGAAGTTCAAGACTAGTCTGGACAACACAGAAACACTCTGGTCTCTATTTTTTAAAAAAAGGCCGGGCTCGGTGGCTTACGCCTGTAATCCTAGGACTTTGGGAAGCTGAGGCGGGCAGATCCCCTGAGGTCAGGAGTTCAAGGCCAGCTTGGCCAACATGGTGAAACCCAGTCTCTACTAAAAATACAAATATTAGCTGGGCTGTGGTGGTGCGTGCCTGTAATCCCAGCTACTCAGGAGGCTGAGGCAGGAGGATCACTTGAGCCCAGGAGTTTGAGACTGCAATGAGCTATGATTGCACCACTGTACTTGCACTCCAGACTGGGCAACAGAGCAAGACACTGTCTCAAAAAAAAAAAAAAGATGAAGAAGGGATCTGAAACAGTAGGACATCTTGAAATCAGGGGCAAAAACTTTCCTCCCTCCTCCTGAAGGGAGAGAAATGGAAATTTTGGGGGAAACAGACGTACTCTGCAGTTTTGAGAACCCTGTGACGATCTAGAATTACACTGTCAATTTAGAGCTTTAAAATGCACCATGCACAGTACATTCTGAAACGTGAAGATTTGGAGAGCTTCAGGAGGAACAAAAGTTCATGGGAAATTGCCCGTTTCCTTTAGATTTTTCCATTTGGTTTTAGGTCTTCAAAAGCCTCATTCTGGGGTTCCAGCTTCTAAGGCCTTTCTACTTCACTGATGCCTGGAATTAACTGGAAACATGGACCCTGGAATTCCAGGGACCCAAGTTCTGCCACTATGAACAGGCCCTGTGACTTAGGAGCAAGTAGCCTGACCTCTCAGCCTCGGCTCTCTTTGTCCTCAATGGGGATAACACTACTTCCTCACCAGGCTGTCCTGAGGATCAGGATGCACAGAAGTGCCTGATGCACACAGGGCACTTGGCAGAGAGCCTGGCACACAGAAGAGCTCAGTTAAGCCCCATGCTCTAGCTGCACCCAACTTATTGGGTTTACCAAGCATTTAAACATCCCCACGTGTCCGCACACGCAATTTCCTCTTCTTGGTGGCCAACTCCTATTCATCCTTGAGGGCCCCCGACCCTCTTCCTCCTCTTACAGAATTGCTACGAACATGTGTTTCAGTGAAAAGCTAGAAAAGGCACTTCCCCATGACACCCTCCCTAGGACTCCCTGTCACTGCACTTATCACACTGAGGTGCAATCATCTGTTGATGCTTTATGTCCCAGCACTGGCTCAGGCTTTCTGAGGGCAGGGCTGAGGCTGACTCATTTCCAAGTCCTGACGCCCAGAGAGCATGCCTGGCATGAAGTAGATTTCAATACAAGTTGGCACTACCTTAAACACACGTGGTCTGGACCCGGGCCCTGCTGACCCCAGGACAGATTTATGTATCAGAAGGGGCAAAATCCAGCCAGGTCTGTTACAGACACAGGAGATGGCAGTGAGTGGGCTTCAGGCAGCCTTGGAACAGGCCTATCCTGGGAGCGGACACAGTCCCTGCAGGGAGAGTAAACAGCCTGACTCCAGTGTCACTTCTTTCAGGAGTCTTCCCCAGTTCCTAGATTGTCCCCTTTTTCTGCCATACCCCCAAAGCATTCACAGGAGGAGTCCCTGACGAGGAGAAGTGCCTCCTGCCATGCTGATGACCTCCCACCCTCAGACACAGGGGTCTCTGTGGTCACAGGGTAGTGAGAGTGATCTAGGTGGCTTGGGATCCCAGGTCACAGTGGCTTGGCAGGCTGGATGTGAGTGCTGGGCACGGCCCCACATCTTTCCAGGACCCGGGGAAGCCATTTCCCAAAGGAGGCACATCCCCGGGTCTAGGGTTGCTGGGAGCCTCACCCTGAGAAGGGGGCTGTGCTTTGCCCTCCAAGGGCATCCCTTTCCCCTAATGTGCCCAAAGCCCCTCTTGGTGCCTAAGTCCCCAGCCCCCTGCATGTTATTCAGTCCCTGCTGGAGTGACAGCCTCCCAGCTTTTGTTCCAAAGACATGGTTGTCAAAAGGAAAAGAAGTATATTGTTTCTTTTTCTTTTTTCTTTTGTTTGAGACAAAGACGTCAATTTCTTTCCATCTGTCCCAAAAAAGGAAGAAAATTAAATTTGTTTTTACAAGGATGTCAGCACACTGCTTCAATAGGGAGTCAGGGGTGCATTACTGAGGCAGTGTTGGTGAGGGAGGGGAGAGCAGTGGGGGGAGAGGAGATGAGGCACGGGGGAGGTACAGGGAACAAGGACAGACACTGATATTCTGGGAAGCAAAGATCCAGGAGTGCCTGAATAAAATGCCAAACCAATGAAGAGAGAAACTTCTACACCCAACTCCAGGTGGATGCCACTCTCAGCATCATGAAGGGGGCAGCTAGGCTGGAGCAGGTGGGGAACCTGGGGAGCCTGCTGAGGGGAAAGGCAGAGGGGGACGCACACTGATGTCGGCATTGCAGTTACAAAAGCTTCTCCCCCCAGTTCCTTCAAGGTCAGGTCCCCATATGGGC